AGCCCCTCGTTTGTTGTCCTCTTCTCTCTCTCTGCCTACGGTTTTACCGGGCAGTTCTGTTTGTGACGATATATATATATATATATATATATATATATATAGAGAGAGAGAGAGAGAGAGAATTATAGAGAATCTTATTCCTTTGTTCTCATTATAGTCATGTGGCCTCAGACTTAGACCATTCGTCTTAGAAACAATGTTCAACCCCCTTTTTTTCAGAACAAAAAAAGCAGAGTACTCTGAGTCAAGACCCTGAGACTGTTCAGAAACCACCCAAAATAAACAGCGACCAGACCATTCGTCTTAGAAACAATGTCTGGTCTTCAAAACTCAAGCAATCAATACCCCTCAAAGTAAGTAGTCAGGCCATTCATCTTAGAAACAATGTCTGACACAATTAAATAAACACAGCAACCAAGCCATTCGTCTTAGAAACAATGCTTGACCCTTTTGAATCAACGACCCTTTTGTCACTTGCAAAAACGAGGGGTATGAGTGTCGAGGATGGTTGGGGTTGACTCCGTGTAGTGCGTGGACTGTTGTTTGACTCTTTGATGTGATTGCAAGTATGTGCTGTGACTTAGATTCTGAATTTGATTGTCTGCAATCACATATATACATATGGTTGTGAGGAACCCCGCTGGGACTGTGAGAAGTGATCGTCACATACGGTTAAGACTGGGAGACATAGGGAAGAACCCCTTTATATATGCGTACACGGGTGTACCTGGGATGAATGTTTGCGTGGCCTAAGGGGGCCCCGTACCAAAAGCCTACTCGGAGGTTAAGACTAGGAGACATAGGGAGGAACTTCCCCTCGCACAAAGCCTATTTGCTTTGCCCATCGAGACACCCAATCTTGAAGGCGGAAATGTCGCAAGGGTCGAACCGCATGTCCTTCAGCCGTTCAATATCGTGAGGGGTAACCCCTCACGATATATTCCTTCAGTCATTCAATATCGCGAGGTCGGGGCCACGATTACCACGTATAACTAGCATCGTTGGTTGGTATAGGACTGGCCTACGACTGCGCGACTTTATACTAGAATCATGCGCACGATGCGTCACCGCCCTAGCGTTTAAAGATTATGGGATTAAAGGGACTCGCACGTATGCACGAACGCTTGGGATTATTATAGGCCGCTGGCACTACCCGAAAAGGGGAGGGTACCCCAGGGTCATGATCTCTTTTGGAATAGGGGGACCCTCAGTCTATTTATTTATTTTTTTTGCTTTTTAGGATTTATAGTTGGACGTTGTAGTCTGTGGCAGCCGTCAAAATCAAACCCCTTGACCTTTGTCCAGGCCTGGAGTGGGGCTCATCTCCAGGGCAGTAAGAAATGACTGCCACCACAGGTATGGACCTGTGTACCACCCACTCTGCACAGAGTGCAGAAGAGGGTGTGTGGTATTCAACCGCGCATGGCGGTTGTCCAACGTCGAGAGATTAACCCTCAAAGCGCGTATCAGCCGACACTTGAGTGTCGAATGCGACCCTCGAGATTAACGAGGACCGCATGAGTACGGGTACTACATGGTACGTCATCATTGCAACTGCTTGCGTACGTTTGCGTTGCTAGTCGATATGAGTTAGCCCTGCGTCCGCGCGGTTTTATATCAAGTCTCGCGCGCGACGCCTATCCGATTTCCGCGTCGGAAAGGTATGGGATGACTACCGAGGGGCTAGGAACGTTGTCGCGTTGTTTGTGTTGCGTCGTATATGTGCGCTTTATTTTTATGTTCATAAAGTGGTGTGTGCGTGGGGTGTGGGATGCGTCCTACTCGACCGACGACGAGTCGCGCTTAGGACCTCAGCCCCCCCGAGATGTCGGTTCGCGTGCGGGTCCGATAGAGGCGTATTACCGCGCGTACCCCCTATGCTACAGCGAACGAGAAACGCTCTCGGCTTGTCCACCTCTGCGTTTGCAACTGATCAGCTTTCGTACTGCGGACTGGTAACTCGGCTGGGATACGCCCACCGAAGGGAGGTAACAACTCCTGTAAGGTGGAGGTAAGTTGTGCCTCGCGTAGGCCCTATCCTTCCGTAGGGGCTCGCGGGAGGTATGGCTGGCGCACTCGGCCGGAGCGGCTTGCGGAAGCTCCATGTATATTTGCGACGAAGGATTCAAATCCAACTCCTGCGTGACGCAGCCGAGAGGGTCCCGCGCTGCTTCATGCGGTGTCGGACCGATGCGCTCGACAGCGCCCACCTGGGTCGCGCATAGTTGTGCCCCGCTGTCGATACCCCACGCGCGCCGCTCACCCTTGCAAGGACCTAAGCTTTCTCTCATGCGCACGCCGTCAGACGAGCGAGGCCGCACTCGCGTGACTTGCAGAAAACACGCCAAATACCCTTGTAAGGGTATTTGGTATGACACCGTCACCTCTCACGCAACACCTTTCTCTCCTAACTCTCATTTTACTAATCCTCTTCTAAATCTAACCCCTTTATTGGAGTCGCAATACCTGAAAACCCTTAAACGAAGCCCTCCCTTGCCCGTTTTCGTTAAGAACGGGCGAGATCCGTGATTATTCTTCTCTCTCCTCCTTTGCTCCTGCCATCCCCGCGCATCCCATTCTTTACTAATCTCCCTCTACAGTAATTTTCATCCAAAACTAACTCCAAAATCCGTTTCGCTCGACTTTTAAACCTCAAACTCACTTCCTTCCCCGCCCGATTTCATCGAGAATCGGGCGGGCTTCACGCTTTCCACCCCCACTCGCTCCCTCCATAGCCCGTTCCTTCCTTTCGTATGCACCTAGCGCAGACCAATGGCCAGATTCACCCTTGTTTCTTTCTTCGTTGTCGGTCGCTCCCTCTCTGTACCTAGATACAACCGTCCCTCTGCTGCGCCCGGCCACACTTCATCTCAATCTCACTCTGCCACCCATTCGCTAGCGGTCGGCTGCCTGTCTGTGCCGCTATTTGCTAACGCAGCTCCCGCCGCTCGTCTGCCTCCGTGCCCAGTCTCAGCGTCCGTCGACGTCTTAGCACAGTGGCCCCTCTCTTGCTGCTCTTGCCAGTCATGAGGGAAACTTCAACGACAACCAGTTTTTGGCTGGCCCATCGAAAAGGCTCGGCCTCGACGCTATCAGTTGTCCCCTGGCCAGTATTACTCACCCGCACCTACTGGTGGGTGTGGTTCCCTCATATTCCCCCTGTTGGAGGCTTGGGCACAGATGTGGCTGCTACGGAAACGGGCTAACTTGAGTGAAGTCACGAAAACAGTTCATAATCACATCTCAGGCAATCCCGCGAATACAATACACCCCCACGCGACCCTACCAAACCCGAAACATAGGTCATATACTTTCAGCATTACCGGCCTCTTTCACCTCAAGTGTAATTGTAAACTCAAACCCTGACTGCGCCATTTTCTTAGCAGCAGCGTAGTGGAGGACTTTCGTCGGCATCCCGAACACGTGGACCTGTCGAACGAGGCACGCACTCAAGGTCCTCGACTGCCGCGACGACTTCCCGTGTCCGACAATCTAATAGTTGAGCCAGGCCCATCGGTCCTGACGTCGGCCTCGGAATCAATCACTAAACTAAAAGACTTTAGAAAACAAGAAATAAAGGTAGATAAATAAATAAATAATAAAAATAAGAATGAATGTCGCGTGCCCCGCTGATCCGCGACGCCGCGCACACCCATGTTGCGCATGGTTGCACCTTGCCATCAATACCCCGCTCGCGCCGCTCACCCTTGCGAGGACCTAAGCTTTCTCTCGCGCACACACCGTCGTACGGGCGAGGCCGCACTCGCGTGACTTGCAGAAGACACGCCAAATACCCTTGTAAGGGTATTTGGTACGACATCAGGACTACGCAAAGGCCTGTCGCACATAAAAGGCATTTACCAACCCTCTGTGGCCTCCTTACTCGATCAAGGCAAAAAGACCACACACCCCGAAGACATCTCTCATGAAGTTTTTTGCGACCTTTTCAAAATTTTCGTCAATGGCCAAGCAAAACTTGGTCCTTCTCGTCAGATTTTATCATCCACAATCAGCTTACCATGCCATTGAATCTATCTACCCCTCCCCCCCTCTTCATATGAAGGAGGGCTCTCTCCATAGGTATTCCAGTTACCCCTTCTCTTTCTAGGTAATCTTTCCATATGACCTCTTTAATTAGAACACCTTCCCATTTGAAGGGTGCCTCTCTCATAAAACAATGAACCAACTTATGGGTCCTCACCATAATTCATCCATAAATTTTCAGCATGGCGAGCTTTCGGGCCTCATGGACCCATGAATCCCTCAGGATTCACACACTTTCACAGTGACAGACTGCACTCCCTCTCCTTATACCCGGCCCTCCAAAAAGTCCAAATGACACCCCTGATCCGTAACCCTCTCAAGTGGACTCACTCAAATCCCTCTCCACATAGTACAGATCCCACTACCCTACCAAAAATATCCTAAGGTCAAACCGGATCTACCCTCAGCGAGTCAGGAAAGAGAAAAGGTAACTTCACCACATACACAACCTCTCCTCATCAAGCCCTGACTCTGCATCACTGTGGGGGGATCCTAATGGCACCCATACGCTGTAGCCCCCTACATATACACATGACAACGTGGGTACCCAAACTCCTCAGAAGATAGAACAAAAACCGAAAACAGCAAGTCCTAATCCACGATATACACTCAACTCATCCTGCAAGTCATAGGCGAACCAGTCCCTACTCACTCATCTCTTCCTGGTTCTACCTATACAATTGTGTCATTCCCCTATCTGCAGTCCGCTCCACCATCTGACCCTATTTATCATACATCCTTCCATCTCTCTCAGTAACCCGTCTGGCTGCCTTATCCTTGAGGAACTTCGGGCACTCGAGGGCTCTGTGCACGCCATCCCGACAAAAGAAGCACACACTCTCTGATCTCCTCTGAAACTTCTTCTTCTTTCTCTTTTGCTCAAGGGCCCTTGACGACTAGGGGGCGGCTTTTTCTGGCTCATGGCCTCCTGTTGTTGCTGCCGAGTAGCAGGTCCTCCTGAGTCCGTCCCGGTGGCCCAAGAACCTAACTGCGTCCTCAGCTCTCCCATTTCTGGCACGTACTCTGGAGTATCCAGCCTCTGAGGCCTCTCTGGGGGCATGCCCACCTCCATAGCTGCCGCCAACTCATCCAAGCGAGACTCCCTCCTCTCCTCCGTCCCATGCTGGGGGGACATCACCTCTCCCCTGAGGGTACCTCCCTGTACCTCCAAGAGGATTCCAGGGGACGCCTCTGCAGACCCCTCCGGCGCTAATGGCGGTTCAGGTCTTCGAGTTGGCTCCTCAACAGGAGTCTCAGATGACATAGGGGCTACCTGCTGGGATGCTAATTCGGTAGAGGCCTTGAACTCAAAGCTCCCCTCTTCAGCCTTCCTCTTCGCCTTTGCCTCAGCTGACTCCATGATAACTTTCCCCATAGCAGGTTGCTGGGAAGGTCCCGCCATGGATGGCTGTCCAAACAGACCCTGCACCGCCTCACCCCGAATACCATAGCGGTGACTCTCTGTCCAATCCACCACCCTCGTAGGCGCTTCATGATCTAATCTGGCTGCCAAATCCTACAGTTGCTGCCTCATCTCCTGGATAGTCGTAACCTGATTGGTGGACAATGCCCTGAGTTCTTGAATTGCGGCCTCAGCGGCCTCCAGGCGCACTCCCAGGTTACTGTCCTTCAGCTTCCTCCCAGCCAGCTCATCTTCCAGCATCAAGTATCTCTTGAAGGAACTTTTTGCCAGGAAGCGAAGCTTGCGGTCCAAATATCCATCCAATGACCTGGTTGTCTCAAACCCTGTCCTCGCAGGCGTGACTAACCCCGCACCATGCTGCCTCAGGAATTCGTCCCATGACTCTGTAACACTTAGGGGCATGTCCGGCTCCTCAGATGGTTGACCGGGTAAAGCTCCTGCATCCTCTATCCTGCGCCTTTCTTCCCAGATTTCCTCCGGACGCTTCCCAACTCTAGCTCTCTTCTCTTCCGCTGTCTCCCCTGCATGTGCCCTCCCTCCTGTGGCGCGGGCCCCCTCTGTAGGCGCCTCGGGCTATATCTCTCCCTCTCTCGGAGGTGGCTCCTGCGATGGGTCCTCATGCATCTGCTCTTCCTGTTCCGGCTCCTCGAGGTCAGGGTGCGCCTCCGCAAACGTTGCTAGGTGCGTGTCGACTATGGAGAGGGTCTCTCTCCTCCATCCCGTCTCCTCTCGCTCAATCTCGACCATCATCCCTGGCGAAGGGCTCCCTCTAGGAGCGGGCGAAGGGATCTCCTCCTGTTGCGGCCCTTCCTCTCCCTCGCGAACTGCCTTTGGCCCAACCTCCAGCACCGTCTTCATGACCGGCTTTTGAGGTGGAGTGTCCTTCCAGATCTCTATAACTTCCCCTGGTAATGGCTTTGTCCGGATACCCTGTCCTGCCTGTTGTACCATCTCCTGCCCCTTTGTATGGGGCCCCTCACACGTTACCTCCTCGGCTGGCCCCTCGCAACTCTCTCCTGACTGCGGCATCCTCCACTAAGAGACGTTTAGGTGGGCCTCCAGCTCGTGCAGTGCTTCCTCTCCTGATGGCGCCTCTGCTTCCGTATGTTGGGGAGACCCCCTCAGCTTCTCCTCGGTGAAGCGTTGGAAGGTCATTGGTCCCAACCCACACTCTGGGTAGGCCCCTCGCCCCTCTCTCCCTGCAAGCGCCTTCCATCCCCCTCGAGGCGGTACCGCTTCCATAGGCTCAGGGTCCCTTTGTCTCTTGCTTCTCTGCCTCCTCTCGACCCTGGGTTGGGGTGGATCTGGCCATCGAAAAACCTCCCTCAGGAGCGTCCTGCACCTCTCCCAATCTCGAGTTGTATCCCTTACTTACCTTGTCAACGGTCTCTCGGCCTTACTTGTCCATAGTAGCAACGACAACATTCACTCATCTCTCACTATGTGCCGCTCATGCATGAACTGCTCATATGCCGGAATAAACTCCTCCACAATATCGTAGCTTTCTCTCGAATCCGTGCAACGGGCTCTGCAAACCGGCCAGCCCCCCGTAAGTGCTCTATCATCTGGGATACCGTCAACCTCCTATGCTCCGCATACCCCTGGAAGTCCTCTAGGAACAACTCTATATCTCCGTCGTCGTATACGGGTGTATGCTCCCTCCGGAAGTATCCATGCCGCTCGTATCCCCCTGAGGCTCCCTGTGGCCTCCCTGAGCGCTGTGTCTCCCTCCCTCCTCTCGACATAGCTGTCTTTCGAAAAGTCAGATCTGCACAACGGGCGAAGGAGACGACAAGCACATCAAAGTGATAAGTACTCAAGCAGGCAGGTCGCGCGCAGAGCAGACAACAAGCATACATCCTATCCGTGCATTCTACCATCCTTTACCCCTCAGAACCTAACTGCAAACCCCCTCCGCACTATGGGGCCTTATTCTAGGGGGTTACGTCACTCATCTCACCTCTTCTCTCGCCACAAACTTTTTCAGCCTTGTTCCTGACACCCAGTCCTTCCACGCAGTCCCGTTTAACTCCTCTATCTGCTATGCTCCAAAATCTTCACACCGCACAATCCGGTAAGGTCCCAGCCACCTCTTGTCCAACTTTCTGGACCACTGCTTCTCTAGGGATGAATCATACAGCAGCACCATGTCTCCTACTTTCAAAGGCACCTTCCGTACACGCGCCATCTGATCCCAACGAGCCTTGTCATCCATACGGCTCCTCTCCACCTGGTTAAAGGTCTCTTGAATCCTTTCCTCAATCACGCCAATCTGCCGTGCCCGAATATCGAGTAACTCCTCGAAGGATAGGTTGACCTCCAAGTCCTGGCGCCTCCAAGTCTTCAGGAAGCTCTCGATAAGGAAGGTAGCATGTCTCCCATACCACAGCGTGGCTGGCGCATATTTCGTGGTCCTCTTAACCGTGATGTTCTCCACAAAGAATGTCGCCCTTAGGTACCTTGGCCACTGTTTGGGTTTACCCTCAGTCCACTTGGCCAGAATGTTCGTGATGGTGTTATGCCCCATTTCTACTGGAGCATTTGCCTGGGGATGCGCGGTCGTGGTATAATTGGCTACCACACCGTAGCCTGACAATAACTCTCACACTTCTTGACAGGTAAACTCTGACCCTCTGTCCATCACGAATTCCCTGAAGAAAGGGTAACGCAAGTAGTATTCCTCGATGCAACTTACCAAGGTCGGACCAGTCTTAGTACGAATGGCACGACCGTCTACAAACCCAGATAAATTGTCCCGCGCGTCGAAGATATAGTTGTAGCCTTGATCCCCAATCAGCATAAACAATAGGTCAAGATGCACCACGGTGCTTACTTCCCTTTCCAGCCTGGGGTGCAGTGGCTCTCCCAGCCTCTGAGGGGACCTCTTTTGGCAAGGTACATAGGAGCGGCAGAATTTGGCCACCATCTGCATCATTCCATCCCAATAGTACAACTCGCTTATCTTAGTGTATGTGGCATTGACTCCTCGATGTCCTCCTGCAATGTTGTCATGAAGCGCAACTATAATATCTATTTGCCGGTTCCTCCCGCATACAACCCTCCTGGGGCTTCCCACTTGCCTTTTTACGATGATGTGACCATTCCTCACTAGGTAGAGGTGCCTCAACTTCTGAGCTCTCTCGCTCGCGTCTCTATCCTTTCTCTCACAAGATAGGAGAAGCCTCAATTCTAGGTAGATTCCATCATACTCTTTTGCACGAAATGCTTCTTTGATCTCCTCTTCCTCCAACTCGTCGTCCTGGCTTTCTGGCACAATGCCCTCACCCTCTGCTGGAGTCGGCGAGCCCACTTGATCAAAGTTCCCTTGCAGAAGCACATTGGTCAGGAGGTACATCCCTCCCATCAGCTCTTCGTGCCTCTCTACCTGGTCCGGTCCTTCCTCTATCGTTCTTACCTCATCCACCAGGCTACACGTACCCGCTAGTGCCAACTTTGTCATCCACTGGACATTCTTGCTGCCCCATGGGTCCTCCTCCTCGAACGGCTTGAGCACAAGCTCCGACTTCTGTTCATACCCCTTCGGCGCGAACCACATAGGGTGGCCAACACAACTCGGCACTCGCCGAGACCACTCGTTAATGTGGAGGCGCGCATCCTCCTCTTGGTCGAGGAAGCCTGAGCCATCAACTGGGGGTGTAACCTCCACTGCTTCCCCTTCCTACCCATCCCAGTTGATGCGACTCAATCCATCTGCTCTGTTCTTGTTCCCAGGGATCCTCTCCAGTTCGAAGTTGAACATCCAGATGTAAGTCAACCATTTGGCGACTGTTGGATCCGACGGAACGTAATTTCTTAGCGAGTATGCAAGTGTTGTGGGGTCCACTCGCAGTATGAGCCTCCTTCCAAAGATATAATTTCAGAAGGTCTTTAGGCAGTGGAGAACCTCGAGGGTCTCTTTTTTGAACTGGGAGTAGTTCCTCTCAGTCGTATTGAGAGTACGACTTTCAAATCTCAGCAGTTTTTTTTTCCCTCCAATATCTACCTGAATCAGGACCCCTCCTAGAGCAGTCAGCCCCGCGTCCGTTTCCACAATGAATGGTCTTACTTCTGCAGCCTCATAATCTGGCGCACCTAGCACTAACCCTCCTTCCTTAAACTCCTCTTTCATCCCTGCCATGACCTTCTCCTGCTCTTCTCCCCAAACCCATTCCTCATTCTGACGTACCAGCTTTCTCAAATGTCCGGTCTTGGCAGCGAAGTTTTTGATGAAGGTCCTCTAGAAGTCGCACGTACCAAGGAAGCTTCTAACATCCGTTATTGAGTGGAAAGGTACAGGTCACTCGACGATCTTGTTCGTCTTGGCCGACGGCCACTTTCGCTACAGACGAACCCTAGGATGGTAGCCTCCCTCATGCAATGCCTGGACTTGGCCCCAGTTGTCGTAAGGTTGTGTTCCTCGAGTAGGCTCAGGACTTTGTCGAGATCCTGAATATGCTTCCACACGGACCGCCTTACTCCGGGCAAGACTTCGTCGCTCCCCTTTTCCTTTGGACCCTTCACTGCCAAGTCGTCGATATAAGGTTGGGTGATATGCGGGCTGACTCTTTGCATAGCCTGGATCATATGTCGCTGGACCATTGTCACTGCATTAGTCCATCCTTGCGGCGCCACGTTCATATGAATCAACCCCTTGGGCGTATGCATTCTGTCACAGGTCTGTCTGGCGGATAGACCGGAAACTGGTCATACCCAGAGTATAGGGCTATAAGTGCGATTATAGGTCTTCCAGCACACGACTCCAAAAGCGCGTCGGCATTTGGCAAGCCCCCTGCATCTTGCACGGTCACTGCATTCAATCGCTGCAAATCTTGTACCCATCGTAACGTCCCGTTAGGCTTGATGAAGCAAAACCATGAGGACGCATACGGCCCACTTGAATGGCCAACAACATGCGTCTGTATCTTACCATCGAGACAATCTACCACCTTCTTCTCCTCGTCAGGATTAGGATATCGCGCTCCTCTCAGGTTTCATGGCTCGTGTGGGACGGTGTAGATCCGAATCATAGGAATCTTATCCAGGTCCAACCTCCCACGTTCATCATCGTTAAACGCATACGCGCGGTGCCTCTTCTTCATCAGTGCGATCATCAGCCCTCTCTCCTGGGGTAACAAAAACTCAGGCTCCCCTACTATCAACTTTTCTTTATTCCCTTCGTTGATACGACACGGTTCGACTGCGGCCTGCTCCCTCATTCGCCGTATCAACCCTCGTTCCCACTCGTAATACGCCTCCTCGTCTTCGGTAATGAGCACAGGGACCGGGCGACACTTCTTATTTATCGTCTTGTACCGCCTTTGGGAACCCTGCTTGAGCCGTCCCCTAGAAAAGGCCGGTTGACCGTCTGCGTCTGCATCATTGCGGGGTCCCTTCCTTTCTCTGGGAGTCGATAGACCAACTCCAACTCTCCCACCTGCGGGCACTCCAGAACCTACTCCCTTAATGCCTGGATGGCGTCCGGGTCCGCTATCTCGTGTGTGGCCACCACATCCATGGCCTTGTTTATGTCGGACAAACTGAGGGAGAACGCTTTGCCTTTCTCTTCCTCTTCCGGTTCCATAAGGAGTCTCTGACGCTCCTCCTCGGATTCCTCAATTGTGAATGACCCGGGGTTAGGTCGGTTCCTTATACTTCGTGGACCCGTGTTCCGGCAGTTAATTACCTCATAGTTCTCACATGCCGGGTCACACATTATCAGGATCAGAGTCTCGTCGTGTTTGTTGAACATCAGCGTCTCTGTCCTCCATAAGAACGATCTCCCCATGAGGATACCATGATCCACGTCTGGCATGACAAAAAAGCATGCGCTGGACTTTACTCTTCCTACCTCGATGAGCACATTCGAGGTTGTCCCGCAAAACACTGCCTTACAATTTGCTCCGTGCAGAATGCCGCAATCTGAGCGGTCTATTTCCAGCCCAAATCTAACCGCATCAACTTCCCTGATGATATTCATCTCTGCTCCTGTATCCACCATCGCTGCGCACTTGGAACCTTTTACTGCCA